AGCCTCAAACCCTACAGCCTGGTGCGGCCACTGCTGGTGCCCTCCCTGCGGCCCGTGGTGCTCTTGCCCGAGTGCCTGGCGCCTCGGCTCATTCGCAATCTGCTAGACCTGCCCAACTCCCGGCTGGACTTCCAAGTGTGCCCAGCAGGTGAGCCCGTGTGCCCAGAGAGGGGAGGGGAGGGTGGCACTCGGGGGCAGCCGGCCCACTGTCCCTTCCTCGCGGCTTCTCCCTGCTCTCCAGAAAGCCTGTCGGGGGAGGAACAGTGCTCGACCTCAGCACCCGGAGCCCCCAAGGCTCGGCCTGCCACCCCTGGGCTCGGCAGCAGGATCCGCGCCATCCAGGACTCTGTCGGGAAGGTAGGTGCTGGGGCTGGGCCTACCCTCCTGAGCCCGAGAGCCAGAGTCTGCGTGCAGGCCTGTGCTCTGGGCACGTCCCTTCCCTTGCGTGGCCCTTTCCTCACCCGTGATGGGTGGGCTAGGGCAGCTGACCTCATGTGGGTCGCCCGCGAGGTGTGGGTCACCATCTCACCTATCCGTCTCCTTGTTCTCAAACTCGCCACTGCCCTGGGAGCTGGCTGGGGCTGTGGGGAGGGGGCGGGGTTAGCTCCATCCTCCAGAAGGGGAGGTTGAGGTTCAGAGGGGCAAAGTAACTCATATTCTCGGGTCTCCTGCCTCCCCTTCTGGTTCTTCCCTCTGCCAAGGACCCTCTGGATGGGGAAGCAGGCCCTGTAGCGGCTGTGCTGTGGGGCTCAGTGCGGGAGGCAGGGAGGTTAGTGTCCCTGGGCCAGGAATAAACTGTACCCTTGACCCCTGAGAAGAAGCACTGCCTGTTGGAGCTGGGCGCTCGGGGCGTGCGGGAACTGGTTCAGAACGAGATCTACCCCATCGTCATCCACGTGGAGGTGACTGAGAAGAATGTCCGGGAAGTCAGGTGAGGCAGGACCCCAGCACCTCCTCCTTTCTGTGGATGTCTGTCCGTCTGTCTGTCTGCCTCTCTCTCTCTTTGTGTGTCTCCTGTCCATCTTTCTTTGCCATCTGTCTCTTTGTCTTCCTCCATCTGTTCATCCTTTCTCACTCCCCATAACCTTGTCTGTGTGTCCTTCTCTGCCCCCCTCCGCCCACTGCCCGCGTCTTCTCTCGGCAGGGGTCTGCTGGGCCGGCCCGGCTGGCGGGACTCGGAGCTGCTTCGCCAGTGCCGCAGCTCGGAGCAGGTGCTCTGGGGGCTGCCCTGCTCCTGGGTGCAGGTGCCCGCCCACACGTGGGGCCACTCGGAGGAGCTGGCCAAGGTCGTTCGCGGCCGGATCCTGCAGGAGCAGGCCCGCCTCGTGTGGGTGGAGTGTGGCAGCAGCAGAGGCTGCGGTAGCAGCGAGGCCTGAGGGGCCCCTTGCGATGCCTGCGGCTTCCTCGTGCCCTACAGACGCCACGAGTGGGCCCCTGGTGTCTGTGGGGGCCTGGGTCCTCTCTGTCCTGAGCCTTCCCTGGCCTGGGGCTCAGCTCTGGGCTGTCACTGCGTGGTCCTGCCGGAGCCAGAGCCCTCCAGCGGAGCTTCTGCCCGCCCGCCCCGTACGTGCTGCTCTGGGCCTTCTGTGGCCCCACTAGTGGGTCTGTGCCCCTCCGTCACTGCTTCCCCCGAGCGTCTTGAGTTCTCACTCCTGTGTACTGTTGTGTACACCCAAGTTCTCATGGGCAGGCTCCTGTCTGTGCCTAGCCCCCGGCACTGAGGTCTCCCAGGTGCTCCGCCTGGTCTGCTCGCAGGAGGCCGAGCCCGCCCTTCGTGACCCCAGCGTCCAGCTCACATTTCCTGTGCAAACCTCCACACCTGGGCATCGGAGCCGCCCTGGTCCACGGCACCTGCGCCCTTGAAGTCTTACACACGTGTCCGTGGTTCTCTCTCCTGTGTAAATGTCCTGTCCCCCACCCCCATAACACTTGGGCACTTAACACACGTGTGTTCCCCGTGAGCACACCAGGACATGTTCTCACAGCGCCTCCTCCCCGCCCCTCTCAGAGGGACGGGTGGGTGGGGCCTGGCTGCTCTGTCACTGAGTATGTGGCTCGTGGAGTTCTCACGGGCCCTGTTCACTCAGAAGCTGCACATTATGGAACATTAAAGAGTTTGTCATAGAAATTGGTGGCCTTTTGCTTGCTTGCATCCCTGGTCTGCCCCCCCCCCCACTTTTCCCCACCCCCAGCCCTGGCTGATACCACCTTTCAGGTCCCCACTTGCCCTTGGGGAGGGTCAGGTTTCGCTCCCGCCTCATCCCAGAGCCGCTGGCCATCTGTGCTGGCGTCACCTTACCTGCCCCTGAGTGACCGAGGGAGGCCTCACAGAGGGGCCACCCCCACGCTTAGTCCTACTCGTGTGTGATCATCAAAGGAGTGTCCCCTTGAACGGGGACACTGAGGTCAGCAGGGTGTAGTCTTGGGTTTAAGGGGCCTGGCTGCTGAGCCCCGGAGACCAAGAGCAAACCTTCAGCAGTCAGGCCCCGGAGAGCTCCAGAGAGAGGGTGGTCACCTCCAGTGGGAGAAATCCAGGCAGGCTGACTGGAGGAGGTGCCACTTGAGCTGGGGGTTTGAGATTCCTCTCTTCAAGAAGTGTTCTTCAAGAAGGTGGACCTGTGTGCCTGTGTGCTGTCCTGGGTCCTCCTATGACTGTTCTTGGTAACAGTGATGACCTTGGGCAGGCTCCTGGGAGGTTTTGGGGGAGTGGATTACTAGGTGGAGGAAACCGCAAGAACAAAGGCTCAGAGGCAGAATAAGGGTTGAGTTTGGCCCCTGGGAAGTGGTAGGAAATGAGGCTGGGAATTTCCATGGTGGGGGCTGCCTAATTCTTAGTGTCCTTGAGGTCTGGCTCAGACACCATCTCCATGAAGCCGCTTGATTCTCTCAGCCCTTGGGACTTCTTGGCTATATGGTGCCTGTGGCAGGATGGTGGGTCTCCGTGGATGGCTGTGGGCTCCTTGGGTGAGGAGGCTGGATCATTCTCCTTTGGTTAAATGAACCTCTCCCCTCCTCTCGGTGTGCCTAGTCCTTGGTCTGTGGATCCATGAGTCTGGGTGAAGAGGTGGGAACCCAGGGGCCCGGCTGCCTTTGCCTGGTCCCATGTTAGGTGACCTTTCCATGGGTGGAGGAGTCCACGAATCCTTTGATTTTTACCAAGTCGTATTTTTGTTTCCGTTTTACAAATGATGAAAGTAAAGTTCAGAGAGGTGAAGTAACTTGCCAAGAGTCACACAGTCAGGACTTGAACCCTGGTCTGTGTGGCATGAAGCCTGGGATCATTTCTTGGTGATGCTGTTCCAGAAGAAGGGCTGCGAAGGGGCCTGGCATGGGGCTGGCCCATAGATGGTGATTCAGAAGGGTAGGTTTTCCTTCACACTCTCCACAGTCCTGATGTAGGGCTGGGCCGCGGCAAGCCCAGTTCAGTTCTCAGCCACTTGGTACTTTCTTGTGTTTAATTAACAAATAATTTTTGAACTCCTACTCTGTGCCAGGCACTGTTCTAGGCACTGTGGAGTCAGTGAATAAAAAAGAAATCTCGACCTGTTCGGTTTGGCTCAGTGGTTGGAGTGTTGGCCCGTGGACCAAAGAGTCATGGGTTTGATTCCGGTCAAGGGCATGCATCTCGGTTGCGGTTCAGTCCCTGGCCCTGGTTGGGCTCATGCGGGAGGCAACTGGTTGATGGAAGGACAGGCCGGGGGACCTGGGAACTAGCTGGAGAGAAGGGATTGCGATTTTATTAATTTATTTAAAAAATGTTTTTATAGATTTTTAGGAGGGAGAGGGAGAAATATTGATTGGCTTCCTCCTGTGTGCACCCCGACTGGGGACCGAACCCACAACCTAGGCATGTGCCCTGACAGGGAATTGAACCTTTGACCTTTCCATTTATGGGACAAATGCTCAACCAACTGAGCCAGGGGGGGATTGCAATTTAGATAAAGTGGTCTGGGAAGGCCTCAGGGCAAAGATGACATTTCTGTAAAGACCCAAAGGAGGTAAGGGAGTGAGTTGTGTGGCCTTCTAGAGAGAGGCCCAGGCAGGAACAGCATGTGCAAAGGTCCTGAGGTGGGTGAGTGCCTAGACTGGCCAGAAGCCTAGTGGTCTGGAGTGGAGGGAGTAAAGGGAAAGTAGTAGAAGGTGAGGTTGGAGGTAATGGGCCAGCTCACAGGGACTGTAGGGTGGTGTATGGTCTTTGGCTTTTGTTCAAAAAGGGAGATGGGACAGGGTTCTAGCAGAGGAGGATGAAATGTGAATGACCTTGTGCAAAACTAGATGGAGATGGTGGGAGGAGAAGGGCCTCTGTCCACTGGCCTGGCGGGGAGAGAAGCAGATGCGGCTGCCGAGTGAGATGGGGTACGAGTGAGATGGGGTACGGCAGACCACACAGGCACCTCAGAGAGCCTCCTGTTGGCGAGACCTGAGCTCCACCTGGCCCTGGCTGAGTTGCCGGATCATTTCAGATCATTCTATGCCTTGTGTTCGGCTGTAAACTGGGAATAGCTGTCCTAGTGCTGCTGTGCAGACCACAGGAACTGGGCAAAGCACTGTGGGCGCTCTGGAAATGGGGAGGGGCTTTAGGGAAGGCTTCCTGGGGGAGAACACCCTTGAGCTGAGCCTTAAAATCCAAGTAGAATGAAGCCTGTGGAGAACACGGGTGAGGATGGCAGGGGGTGGGGGAGAGCGTCCAGGAGGGGGAACAGTGGGAGCAAAAGCTGGGAGGCTGGTACCAGGACACCATAAAATGGGTGTTGAATGAGCTAAGCCGACAGTCTCTGGGGAGTGGGAAGGCGGGAGGGCCCCTAACCCCTCCCTTCCATCGGCACGGAGAGTTAGTTGTTGCCCCCACCCCCACTACAGCAGCTGGCAGGGATGGGGCTGTCCCTTCAGCTGCCTCTTCTCCGGCCACCTCTGGGGCTCCCCCGGGGTTGGCCCCGCCCCTTGGGCTACGCTGGAGGGAGGGGCGGGGCCGGGAGCCCCGGAGCCGGCTGCGTGGGAGGGTAGCCAGAGCAGGTGGAGGGCTGGGAGGCAGAGGCGGAGGGCCTGCCATGGCTCGGCCTCTGGGGCCAGAGCATCAGCTACCTGCTCTCCCCGCCTTGCCTGCCCCTGATGCCTGCCAGACTTTTGCCTTTGCCGGGGCCCCTGCCTGACCGGCCTCCCCTCCCTGTCCGGTTGGGATTTGGGGGCTGAGCTGTCTGGGGTCTCAGGGCCAATGCAGTGCCGGCTCCTCCGGGGCCTGGCAGGCGGCTTCCTCACCCTTCTGTGCATGGGGCTCCTCTCTCTGCGGTACCACCTGGGCCAGTCCGCGAAGAGCGTGCAGGAGACCCTGGGGCTGAGCCCACCGAGCCCTCGGCCCCCTGAGCTGCAGCTGCAGGACGTCTTCATCGCCGTGAAGACGACCCGCGCCTTCCACCGCTCTCGCCTGGAGCTGCTGCTGGACACGTGGGTCTCCAGGACCAGGGAACAGGTGACAGACGAGGCTGTGGGCCCAGGAGTGGCCCCTGGCCTGAGGGACTCACGAAGGCCTTCCTACTGGGTTGGGTCCCTGGCAGCCTCGAGGGAGAAGCTGCTCACCCACCTGCCCATGCCTCCTCCTCCCAGCATCCGGGGCTCCTGGGGTCCCAGTTGTGCCCTTCCCTGGAGCCCACTACCCCTCAGGCCCTCTGCTGTCTCTTAGGGGCCAGGCTGGGCCCTTGCCTCAGGCTTCTGGGTGCCTCCTGGGGATTCCTCTGTTTTCTGACTGTTTCGGTGCAGGCTTCACCCCCGCCCAGCCTGGCACTGGGGCAATGGTGGGTGTTGGACAGCTAGGGCAGAGGCCTCTAAGGGGTCCTGCCTGACATGAGCCTGGTGCAGGCCCTGGGTGAGAACAGGGTGAGCCCCTGAGGAGGGGACCATCTGAGTGGGTCCTGTGGGCAGAGGACCCGAGTGGGAGACATCCTCTCAGAACTAACAGCCCGCACCCATGGCTGTGGTGCCCAGGGTGTGCCCAGGGTGTGCTCACTTCTGAGACAGGAGGGAGGGTATGTGCTGTGACTGGTGCTGAGGCAGAGGTCGGGGTAGGGGCCTGGCCAGCATGTGGGATTGTGTGTGTGTGTGTGTGCACGCACGCGTGTGTTCGTATGTGTACATGTGTGTGCACTCACATGCGTGGAGCCTGTGTCAGTGCTAGACATGCTGACAAGAGGCGTGTGGGTGACAGGGCTCACGGCTTCTGTTTTCCCCGAGGCGCTCTGACTAGCGGGGCCCTAGGCTCTTCCCTCCCCACTCCCAGTGCCCTCCTCACGCAACGTCAGTGATTTGGGGGAGTTGGGAACTATCTCTGGGGGAAGTAGAGGGGCAGATTTACCCACACACGCGCACATGTGTACACACGCACACATATGTACACACACACGGTCCCATTTTGGCAGGTGGCTCCGGGAAGGAAGTGACTGGGCCTTCAGAGGGGCTTGGGGACTCCTGGAGACCAGGGATGGGGGGAGGGGGTGCAGAGAAGAGGCTGGAGCCCCCTGAGGAGAGGGCACCCCCCTGTCCCAATTTCCTGGCCCTGAAGCCCTAGCCCCTTGGATTAACCCTTTTCCTACTGGGCCCCCAGCACCCTGGCTCTTCCCTGGGGCACCGGCCACACACAGCTTCTCCTCCTGGGAAGACTCTGGTTCTACTCAAGGAAGTCGCTGAGCCTGGCCCTCCCCGCAGACCTTCCTGTTTATGGCGCTGTGTCTGTGTGCACCCGGGAGTATGGCCTCACGTGGTCTGAGGCCCCTTCCTGTCTTGTCTTGATCACCATGGTGGTGCCCTTGCCCCAGACGGATGAGGAAACTGAGGCCAGAGAGGAGGAAGTACTTGCCTGTGCGTTACCCTGAAGGCCCAGTGGGACCCAGCCCCCACCTCGGGGCCAGGGCCCTGCCTTCTCTGCTGAGCCCCGGGAGCCCAGAGCTGCCTGGTCACTGGGCTACAGGAAAGGGTCCTTGGGCCTCCAGCCTGGGTGGCTGGGCCTGGCAGACGAGGTCCGCAGAGGAGAAGGCGAGCAGCCAGCCCCTCTGTCCCGAATTCAATCCCCGATGCCAACCAGGCAGCCAAAGCGGGAGAGCCAGCCACTCAGCATCTAAGGGGCTGCAGTCAAGCTGCTCCATTAACCCTCACGGCCCCAGTGGCAGCTGTCAGGGGTCGGCGGCACACTCTCGTCTTCCCAGAAGGTGCCGCCCTGGCATGCAGATACTTCGAGCCGAAAACAATAAAAGCCCAACAAACTCAGGAAGAGGTTTGCCTCTGCCTTTCCTGCCTGAAGGGAGTCGGTTAGGAAAACCTGCTTCGGGCAGGGAGCCTCAGCTCGGTCACCTTAGCATGTGAAAGTGTGTGACAGGCCGGGAGGGAGGATTCAAGCACAAATCTGCTTGCTGGGCCCCGTTGGGCCCCGTCTTTTCTGGGGCCCTGCAGGAATGTGTTCACCACAGGTTTGCTCCTTCTCATCTACCTGTGGATTGTCTGCCTCCCCCTCCTTAGTCCAGAAGGCTCACCACGTTGGAGATGGTCATGCTTATGTGAATTCCTCCAGTGCAGGGATGAACATCCGATTTTCTCCTGTTAGTCTGCTCTGTCATTTGGACGATTCCACCAGCTAGGAGAGCTAAGGGGTAAGAGGAGAGTGTCCCCGGCCGGCGCCGATGCTCCCACTCCTCAGGCGAGGACACAGCAGTCAAGCGGAGGTGGAGGTGAACTCGGTGGCCCCCTCGCCCTGGCCCCCGGTGCAAGGGGCAGAGGACAGAATCTCATCTTTTAAGGCAGTTGGAAAAAGGAAGGGTGCTCAAACAGGAAGAGGAGGGGAGACAGGAGACCCGCTTTCAGCACTGCATCTGCTCCCCCCCCCCCCACCTTTTGGCTCATCTCTGTCTGTGACCTTGGCCAAGGCCCTCCCCCTTTCAGCCCTCAGTTTCCCCGTCTGCACAGACGAGGGCGTCTTGGAGCCTCAGCTCTGCCATCAGGAGCTGGCCTGAGCTGGTTAACTCGGGGCTGTGTGCCCACCCCAGCTGGTTAAGGGCGGTCTGGTGGCAGGTGGGCCTTTGTGGCAGCGGGCTGGGGCTCGCGTGCCGGCCTTTGTCCCAGGCAGAGGGGTTGGGCTGGGGGAGGCACGGGTGTTTGTGATCCAAGAGGAGCCTTTCTCTTCCCCATAGTTCTCCCCGGGCTGGGGCGGGGCTGGTTGGGTGGGGAGCAGGGCTGGCTCACACCTCCCTCCGCAGCAGCAGATGGCCCTCCAGCCATCCCCTCCCCTCCCTCCAGTGGGCTGCTGTCCTTTGTTTTCCTGGAAGGTTTTAACCATTGTCAGGGGCCCCTCTCTAAGCAAATCAAATGCAACCCTTGCTCAGAGGAAACTGCCCACTGCTCCAGGCCCTGCTGCCCGGGACCCCTCCTCCCCTCCCCCAGCAGATTCATTCTGGCTTACTTCCCATCAACAACCATCCCTGGCCCATTTGGCTCGTGCTCCAAACTCTAAGAGTTCCACTATCTGGTGGCTGTTTGGTGGCAAAAGTTCGCCAGGGAGCAGGAGGAGACAGGCCTGGCTTATTTTACTGGCCCCCTGGGGGTTGTGTTGAAAACAGACACGGGGTTCGGGGCAGGACGGAGCAGGGAGTCCAGGGAAAAGGTGACTGCGGCAAAGCGGCAGGAGGGGATGGTGGTTGGACCACAGCGTGGCCACGGTTGTGGAGGCTGGTGGGAGAGGTTGCATCCTGGGTCATTTAAAGGTCAGGTGACAGAATTTGCTGACTGGTTAGGGGGTGTACGAGAAAGAGAGGAGGCACGGTGACCCCAAGGTGCTGGGTCCCAGAAAGATGGGGAGACGGGGAGAAAGTACAGGTCTGGGGAGCTTGGAGCTCAGTCTTGAGACTCTGGGTCTCAGGTGCCTTCCCCAGGCGAAAGCTGGGGCTACAATGGGGTTTCGGAGCGAGGGAGTGGTCCCAGGCCTGTGGGTTTGAATCCCAGCCCAGCACCTGCCAACTGCACAGCCCTGGGCGCTCACTTAGCCTCACTTAGCCTCCTGCGAGGGGGCAGATTGCACCTGTCTCAGGTTTAGTGAGGCTGTCGGCCAGGAGTGTGGCAGCTCCCGGTGGGTGTCTCCCGACCTGGGAGGGCTGCACTGGCCACGGGTCCCCGAGATGCGTCGGGTCCCTGCACTGCGCAGGGATTTTGCGCGGCCGTGGAAGTTGTGACTGTCCCTGCGGCGTGCAGTATCCAGCGTGGGGTCTCCTCACAGCCTGTCTCCTGACTGCTTGGGGCTGTGTATATGTGACTGTGGAGGAGCCGAGTGGGACTGTGTGTGAGGTAGAAGAGGGTGTGACTCTGCCAAGGGTGCGGGACTGACAGGGCCCCGGGCGTGGGTGCTGGTCTGGAAGGCCGAGTGTGAGGGAGACGGATGGCGTGGTGCTCACGGTGAAGTTTGTGTCTGCAGAAGCTGGCTGTGAAGGCACCCACAGTTTTGCCACCCTGACTGCTCTTTGGGATACTGACTTTAAGCTGTTTATTAAGAAACTAGACTCAGATAGAGCCTTTGACCCTCCCCACTTCCTGCCTGGAGATTCCGAGCGAGAAAAGGAGCCTGGAGGGTCTTCACCGGAGCAGGTGGACCAAAGCCTGTTTGCTGTGTCCAAACCTGTGAAGAATTTAGTGACTTTATTTGAGCCAAACTGTTGGGAAGGAAAACCTCAATAGAGATAACGCTCCCGCTCCCGAGAGTGGCAGTTTTGCACCTTAATTTATACACGACAGTCAAAATAGCATGCGATCCATTAGGGAGGCGGGAGAGAGCAGAGCCGGGGAAACCTCTGGGATTGGATAAAAAGTAAAATTATATATACATCCTTCTTTTGCAGACGGGTACAGGATAGTTAACAGTCGATGATTAACATGATAATAATAACAATGAAGGGATTTGTGGTTTCCGCCCTGGTGCATAGGTTGTGCCCTGAGGTGTCTGGAAAAAAGGAAGTCCCCCCACATTCCAGAGATTGTTATCCTAGATGCAAAAAGACAACAGACTCCATCAAGGTGAAAATTAACCTTTGTCAGGGAAGACTTTAGCCTAGGACAGGACAACCCACCATAAACTGCCTTTCCTTAAAAAGTGTCAATCTCAGACCACCCTGCGTGGTTACTTTAGGTCTCTGAGTTTGCAAGGCTGTCACAGGCTGTCACAGGCTTGTCAGGTCAGCACGTGGCCCCTTTTCGTCCACAGCTTGTTGAGTTGCAGAATTTTCCTGCCTAGTATGTTCCGCCCTTCCTCACCTCCCTGTAAATCGCCCATTCTCACTTCTGAAGCCGAATACCCCGCCCCCCACTTTCTCCTTCGTCCAGTTCTTCCAGCCGCATGTTGCCTCACTGTCTTTGGAATATTCATGCTTGTGTGGATTTCCCACGCGCCTGTGTTAAACCTTTGATTTTCTCCTGTTATTCTGGCTCTGGATTTGGTTATCAGCCCAGCTAGAACTTCGAAGGTGGGAGGAAAAGTCTTAATATATTTTTAGTCCCCACAGTTGTGTGTGTGTGTGTGTTGTATGGGGGTGTAGCCGAGAAAGTCATGTTGTCCTAAGGGAGTGTGTGACTGTGAGAGGGGTGTGTGCCCCTCCCTGGAGGAGGACAGGCCTGCTGTGTGTGTGTCTACCTGGACGAGTGGATGATTGGCTGTGGGCACCCCTCCCCCACTCCCCCCCCCTTGGCTGAGCCCGTCCTGACTCCTCTTTCTTCTTCCCAGACATTTGTCTTCACTGACAGCCTGGATGAAGGCCTCCGGGAAAGACTGGGTAACTCTGCCTGGCCTGGGTGGGGTGGCTGTCCCCTGGTCTGGGAGTTCCCAGAAAACAGAGCTGCTGACTCTTGGCGTGTCGGGATGCCCCTTTACCCAGGAGGAGAGCAAGCTTCTTCCCTGGAAAGGGGTGTGGGTGTGGGGAGGGGCTGTGCTGGACAAAACCCAATACCTGGGTCCCAGCACAGCCTACTGCCCATCAGCTATGGGGTCCTGGGCAGGTCAGCCCGCCCTGACCTCAGTTTCCCGTGTGTAAAATGGGAGTGGGTGGGCTGCCCCAGGCCCTCTGAGGCCGTGCTCTGCCATGTGTATGCAGGGCTGTGGGAAGGAGCTGGCCAGGGGTCTCTGACTTGTCCTCCCTTCTCCAGGGCCCCACCTGGTGGTCACCAACTGCTCTGCGGAGCACAGCCACCCAGCCCTGTCCTGCAAGATGGCTGCCGAGTTCGATGCCTTCCTGGCCAGCGGGCTGAGGTGAGTGCATCTGATCTCTGAGGGCAGGTGTGACCTTTGCCTCAGGCCACTTCCCGAGTGGTGCCGTGTTGGGAAAGTGAATTCATCTGTGTCCTGTGAATGTCCTCACGTAGGGCCTCCCGTGGTCTTTGAACAGACTGTCTAGGTTCAAATGCTGCCATTCACTGGCTGTGTGACCCGGGGCAAGTGTCTTACCCTTCCTGAGTCTTAGCCCCCACCTGTTAAATGGGCACACCTTCAAGAGCTTCCACAAGACACTGCCTGGCACAGAACGTCATCTTATTATTATTATTTACTTTTATTTTTTAAATTTATTTTTGTTACAGATGTTTCTCCTTTTCCCCCCATTGACACCCTCCTCCCCCTTCCTCCCTGCCCTGTCCCCAGCTTTGTTGTCCATGTCCATTGGTTATGCATACATGCATATAAGTTCTGTGGTTTATCTCTCCCCCCACCCCCTGTTTCGGGGATTGTCAGTCTGTACCCCACTTCCACGTCTCTGGGACTACCCTGTTCTTCAGACTGTTATGTTCATTATATTCCACAAAGAAGTGACGTTATCTTTTTTTAAATCCTCACCCAAGGATACTTTTTTCCATTTATCTTCAGATAGAGTAGGAGGGGAGAGAGAGAGAGAGATACAGAGAGAGAGACAGAGAGCGAAACATCGATGTGAGAGAGACACATTGACGGGTTGCCTCCCGCACGACCCCAACCAGGGCCAGGGACCGAACTGCAACTGAGATACATGCCCTTGACTGGAATCGAACCCGCGACTCCCTGGTCTGAGAGCTGACGCTCCAACCGCTGAGCCAATCCAGCGAGGGCAGAACAGTTATCTTAAACGTGAGCCCCCCCACCCATAACTGTTCGCTGCTTGATTATCAGGGCACAGCTGCTGGCAGCCCTTGGGAGGCCCCCTCCACGCTCACTATCCCCTGCCGTCCACAGGTGGTTCTGTCACGTGGACGACGACAACTATGTAAATGCGAAGGCGCTGCTGAAGCTGCTGAGAGCCCTGCCTCAGACCCTTGACGTCTACATCGGCCGTCCCAGCCTGAACCGGCCCATCCACGCTTCCGAGCCCCAGCCCCGCAACCGCACGGTCTGTCCCTCCCTGACAGCTTGGGCACTGCCGCCGGCCGGGGGCCAGCCCGGGCCGGGGGCTCAGGCGTAGAGGAGTTGGTGGGTTCTCTGGGTTTCACTGTGGGAGCTGGCGGCTGTGCCCCCGAGTCTCAGTCTCCACCTCTGCAGGATAGGGAGACGCGATAATGCTGGTAAGGCAGAGACTGTCACATGCAGGGCCTTGGTCGCTGGGCAGCAGTGGCTCGTCCCGGTCACACAGCGGGTGCGGGGATGAACTGCGGCTCCCTGTCCCCACGGCAGGGCTCCCGGCCACCTGGTGTGTCCTGTAGCTTGTACGGGTTGATACAATGCCGAATGCTGCCGGGCCAGCTGGTTAACTGCCCAGGCCACAAGCCCCTGAACACTCCTCACCTAAGTGACCCCTCCCTCCAAATGTCACTAACTGGCAACTGAAGAGGTGATACCTGACCCCACAGGGTCCCCAGCACCAGCTTCCGCTCCAGACCTGGATGGACACTGATTAAAGTTGCCAGATTTAGCAAACAAATAAACAAAACCCAGGATACCGGTCAGTGTGCCTTTCAGATGAACAAAGACTTTTTCAGTACAAGTGTGGTGCACACTTTCCCGCCTGTCCGCAGGACGCCGCCGGCTCTTTGGTGGGGAGGCCGGCCGCTAGGGCTCCCTTGGCCCCAGGGAGAGGCAGGCCTGCAGAAGGAGCTGGGCCCGCAGCGGGCAGCCTCCCGCCCCAGGTCACCATCTGCTTCATTAGGGAAACCCAGAGAGCAGGCAGCACAAAACCTTAATTATCGGCAGCTAATCAGCCTCTGAGTCCTAATTAAATCCTTCTGGGCCCCAGGATGAGTGTATGTGAGTCGATTTCAGGTGAGCTGAGGGTCCCCCAGGCTCCTGCACCGCCTCACCCTGGACCTTAGAGCCAGACCCCCTGGGTTCACACACCAGGCCCGCCGCCTCTTGGCTTCCTGACCTTGTTGAATCTCCTTCCCCTCTGCCCGTTTTCTCATCTGTGAAATGGGTGCTAATAGTCTCTTCCTCATAGGGTGGCTGAGAGCAAAAAGAGAATTAAGTGGCATCTCTCCTAGTGCTTGGGGTGGGACCTAGTACGTAACAGACACGAGGAAGTGTTCACAACCGGCGCCCGACACGGCTCAGCCTGGTCTCTGCGCCCTGCTCTTCCTGTGCCGCTTGGGCACCCTGCTGGGCATACCCAGGCCCCGCCAGCCGCATGCCAGGCTCTGGCCCAAAGTGTCCCAGCTGTTCAGACCCTGGGGCTCCCCAGGGTGGGGCAGAAGAAAGGGCAAGAGCTCTGGCTGGGGGTGACTCCCAGCTCTGGGGTCTCGGGCAAGTGACTTCACTTCTGTGCACCTCGGTCGCCTCATCTGAGCATAGCCCGCAGCACAGTGCTCAGGGTTAGGCAGTTACGTTGTTACTGCTGCTGTTACAATAATTACCTGAGACTAGAAGCCATGCGCTCATTAATTCATTAAACAGGCATTGACTGGGCACCTCCTGTGTGTTAGGTCCTTGAGAAGCCATTCATTCCGCCTTGTTGAGTCCTGACCCCTGTCTAAGGGCCGTGTTTCCAGCAGTGAGCTCAGACACCTCCGGCCAGGGGGCCGTCAGATTTGAGATCTCGGAGCCGGTGTTGTACTCACCGCGGACAGATCAGGCCCAGGGGGGCCAGTGACGTTCTCAAGTGGAGGAAGCGGGGAACCCAGTATCAGGCTTCCCATCTTCTTGCTGAGGGTTCTTTTATTTATTTATTTATTTACTTTTATTTTTTTAATCCTCACCCCAGGATATTTTTTCTGTTTATCATCAGACAGAGTGAGAGGGAGGGAGAGAGAAAAACATCGATGTGAGAGACATCAACTGGTTGCCTCCTGCACGACCTGACCAGGGCTGGGGACGAACCGCACAGAGGTACGTGCCCTTGGCAGGAATTGAACCTGCAACTCTTTGGTCTGCAGGCTGACGCTCTAACCGCTGAGCCGAACCGGCCAGGGCCTGAGGGTTCTTGTCACTGCTGCATCCTGGGAGGTGCAGCCCAATATGACATATGTCAATGAAGCAACAGCTGTGTACTTGGGAGGAGGTAACCTTAGGGAACTTGTTTGACCGAGAGATGGTACAGCTGAAAGGGTCTAGTGTTTATCAAAAGCCTTAGAGAAATTCAAGGGTGACTTCACGGGGCCTCACAGAGGAGCCAGAAGAGGTCTTGGTGATGTTGGGCAGGGGCAGAAAGTGGTTGAAATCCCAAAAGAATGTTATTGGTTCTTTTTTTTTTTTTAAGAGTCATTTTTTAAAAAATCTTTTTTTTCTTTATTGATTTTTAGAGAGAGAGGAAGGGAAAGGTAGAGAGACATAGGCACGTCAATGAGAGAGAATATCGATCGTCTGCCTCCTGCATGCCCCCCTCTGGGGATCGGTCCCACAACCTGGGCGTGTGCCCACACTGGGAATGGAACCGGCGACCTCTTGGTGCCTGGGTCGAAGCTCAAACACTGAGCCACATCGGCTGGGCTATTGGTTCCTGAGATGGAGATGTCAAGGGGTTTGGTAGGCTCACAGGCCTGTCTGTTCTGTCTTTACTCAGTGAGAGGTCTTATTCTCTCTTTTTTGGAAAAGTTTTCTCGGTCCCATGAGTTAGGAGTGGCAAGACCAGTCAGTGTATGTGTCCTGATGTAGGTGGCATCAGGATTATAGCTTGCAAACTGCTCTGGTGAAAACATCTCTTCCTCACAGTTAGCACATAAAGCTCAGAAAAGGATTCTGATTGGTTGGCCTGTCACGTACCTGTTGCTGAGCCCATTGCTGGGTCAAGAGGTATGGTCCTGTGATCATTCCTGGGGCACCTGCCCCTCTGTGGCCTAGGGGAGCAGGTGCTGTGTTTGGTGGCCCCTCTCCAACCACATGGGAGGAGTTAGAGATAGTTTTCTGGGGAAAGGGATAAGGGGTGCAGGGCACACAACACACATGCCCTCTTTAACCCCAATCCAGCCAGATTGGGGTCTAATTGGTGTCCCCATCACCCTTAATTAGCTATGTTGACTTTGTGCCTTGGTATCCTTATCTGTAAAGTGGGCATAATAACGTCAGGCTGTAGCAAGACTAGGGGAGTATGAAATAAAAGCTCTGGGGCCTCGCTGGCTGTCGACCCCACCCAGTCTCACTGTGAACCTTGGCTCTTCCCTGCTCTGCCCCTAGAGGCTGGTACGGTTCTGGTTTGCCACCGGGGGTGCCGGCTTCTGCATCAACCGCAAACTGGCTTTGAAGATGAGCCCGTGGGCCAGGTAAGCAGAGAACCCCAGGCGGGTGGGGGAGGGTGGGACCTTCGCAGCAGGAAGAACTTGAGTGAGCTCAGGAGGTCACACTGTGCGTAGGAGGCAGATGCAGAGCCAAGCTCTGCTCTGCCAGCTGGTCCCCATGGAGGTCCTCTGGGAGGCAGGGGCTGAGGGTCCCTGCCAGTGGCCACAGCACAGCTCTGTCCCTCAGCGGCACCCGCTTCGTGCGCACATCTGCGCTCATCCGGCTTCCTGACGACTGTACTGTGGGCTACATAATTGAGTGCAAGCTGGGTGGCCACCTGCAGCCCAGCTCCCTCTTCCACTCCCACTTGGAGACCCTGCAGCTGCTGGGGGCTGCCCAGCTCCTGGAGCAGGTGAGCCGGGCAGGTGGCCGTGGGGGCGGTGTTTGTGTTCGGGCTATTCCCTATTGACGGGGAAACTGAGGCTCAGGGTGGCAAAGGATCCCCTTGAGGGTATCCAGTGACTCTCCACCTTCAAACCTCAAGGGTTGTGATGCAAACATTCTTTATCCTGGTCCCCAAGTGCCAGCTGGAAGGACCTGCTTGATGAGACGAAGCTTGTCTTCAGGTTCAGATAACCTGGCTCCCAACCTGCCACCTCCTGTCCCTCTGTCCTTTCTTGCACCCTCCATCCTCCCCACAGCCCGGCAGCGGGGCCAGGCCTGCCCTTCCCCACTTCCTGCCAAGCAGCCCCTTCAGCAGAGCTCCCCTTCCACTGCCCCAGATGTCAGGGAAGGAGCAGTCTTGCTGAGGACTCTCAAGCACTGAGTCAGGTCGGGGAGGGTGGGGCCCCATCGCCCACCTGGCCGGTAGTGACCGCTGAGGTCCCGCTGCACCGCCCTGCTGATGTTCCTCTCCAGCTCGTAGGTCTCCAGCCCTGGACGTGGTCCTGGCTGGGAGGCCCCTGGGATCTGCCGCCCAACAGTGGAGTCAGAAGCCTTTTAGCTGCAAGTGATAGAAAAGCAGCCCAGATGGAAAAACTAAAAGGACATTTATGGGCCCGTGGACCTGGGGGCTTGGCTTGACTTGCTGGGTCTGCCTGGGTCCAGGAGTTCGGACTCTGTTCCTTTTCCTCTGCCTTCCCCCACCCTGGCCTCATGCTCAGGCAGGCTCACCCCCTTTGCTGGCGAGTTGGCAGCGCCAGGATTTTCCACCCGGAGGAGGAGGGCGCCCCCTTCTGCCAGGTCCCAGAGCTGGCACTCTGGTCAGATGGCCCGTGAGGCCTGTGACCCGTCTCCTACCAGCACCTGGAGTCAGTGTAGATCGGCTAGGCCTGGAACTGCGGTGTGGGGTTGGTCCCACCAGGGTCTCAGGGCCCGAAGCCAGGAAAGGGGGGCAGGTTTTAGGCAACCAAAACCAGGGCACCCGAATGGGGTTTCCACCGTACCCACTGTGCCAGACACCACACTGGGGACTTTATCTTCATCAACTCTGGTTTCTCACAACATTCACATGAGGTTGGTACTAACATTATTTCCATTCTATAGATGGAGAAACTGAGGTGCAGAGTGGAATTAACCATGGCACACATTAGTACATGGCAGGGGGGGTTTGAGCCCTGGCTGGGTGGCCCCTAAGCCGACAGTCTATAACCACCGTCCTTGACAACCTCTCGACTGGGCTCACAGAGAAACTGAGGCTCTGAGGTGGGGGGTGGGGCACTGGCCGGGGCCCCCAGTGAGTCTCAGGAAACCTCTATCCAGGCACACAACTTACTCGAAAGACACCTTCCCTCTTGAGCCTCAGTTTCCTGATCTGTAGATGAGGGAATCATTACAGCCTCCCAGGCGAGCTGGACGGTTGGGGCCGCAAATGGGATTGAGGTCGGAAGGGGCCCTACAAACTTCAGGTACTTGGGGAGCGGGGTGGGCTCCCCAAGGAAGCACCCACTGCGAATGGACCCTCAGGCACAGAGGCAGGCTGGCTGTGCCCTCACAATGCCGTGTGCCTTCCTGCTTCCCCCCAATCCTGTCCCTTTTTGGGGTCCCCAGTGGCACACCCCTCAATCCTTCTTCCCTCTCTTCTTTGCTTCTCCCTGCCCAGGTCACCCTCAGCTATGGCGTCTTTGAGGGGAAGCTCAACGTCATTAAGCTCCAGGGCCCCTTCTCCCCCGAGGAGGACCCCTCCAGGTGGGTCTGGGGGTGAAGCAGTAGACTGGGAGGCATGGGGGCTGAGCCCAGGCTCCCAAAGCGGAGAGAGCCAGGAGGGAGGGGTGTGAGAGAGGCCCTTGGGCTGAGAGCACAGAGCTGGTAGTGACGGGCCCAGATTTCAATCCCTGCTTCCCCACTGGCTTGCTGTGTGATCTTGGGCAAGTCCCTTGTCCTCTCTGGGCCATAATCTCCCCATTTTGTTTTGTTTTTTCCTCATCAGAGGACATTTTTCCATTTTTGTTCAGATCGAGTGGGAGGGAGAGAGAAACATTGATATGAAAGTGACAAATCGAGTGGCTGCCTCCCACATGACCCGGGGCTGGGGACGAATCGCAACCAAGGTACGTGCCCTTGACCAGAATCGAACACACGACTCATTGGTCCGCGAGCCAATGCTCCAGCTGCTGAGCCAAACCGGCCAGGATATAATCTCCCCATTTTGTACCACCAGGCGGCTGGTGTCCCGGGTCTGGAGGGCTCTCCCAGCCCTGATGCTCCGGGATAATCAGGAGCCCAGGAGGCTGACGTGTGTCGCTGGGCGGAGGAGCTGGTCCAGTGAGCCCTGCAGGCACCGACGGGGAATTTTTATTTGATCTGTCGTAGGCTCTTTGTTTCCTTGATACTCTTCAATGGCTCGTTTCAGTGGGTAGAGGGTTGGAATGGGGGCTAAGATGTCACCTGGGCACCTTTCAGTTCTGCCCCCAAATGGGCCACAGGTTGATTAGGGCTGTTCAGCTCAGCCCCCGTCTGCTGGAGGGCAGCTTAGGGCACAGCCTGTGACAGGCTGGGCAGGGGGGACCCCACCTGCTCAAGGAAGTAAAGGAAGGCAGGGGATGGAATGTGGGACAAGAGAGGAGGGTGGCATCAAATTCATCTGGGGAGGTGGCCTGGGATGACTCCTCCCTCGAGGCTTTGTGTCTGCACTTTGGATTTATCTGAAGTATGTAACCCTTGGGGGAGCCAGGACTCCGGGCCCAGAAGTTCTGTAGACCTGTGTGTCGGGGCAAAAGGCTCACAACTATTCCAAGGGCTGTGGGGCCAGGAAGTTCCCTTATGGGGTGAGCTCCCCGTCAGTGGAGGTGAGTAAACGATGGCTATACTGTCGAGAGGTTTAAGAATGGATGTTGCATTCTCTGAGCCTGGAGATTCTAGTGTCCATGGGTTTCTGCCTAATGGGGCTGCCGCTGACTGGAGACTCAGATATGTAGGGTTAGACGGTCCCGTCTCCGCTGAGGTCTCCTTATGGCTTCTCTAGCCTTTGAAGTCTCTCTAAAGCAGTGGTGTTCAGCCAGGGGCCATTGGTCCCCCGAGGACATCTGGCAATGTCTGGGGACATTTTTGAATGTTATGACCTAGAGAGACGCTCCTGGTATCTAGCGGGGGGAGTCCAGGGATGCTGTTGAACATCCTCCCACGGACAGGACAGCCCCCACAGCGAAGAAGTAGCAGTCCCCAATGTTAACAGTGCTGAGGAGGAGAGACCCCACTCCAGACCGTCCTCATGACATGCGCTCCCCTAGGAGTCCCAGGGGGTGAGGGCAGGAGTGGGGTGACCGTCTTGTCCATTTCTGGTCTCTCCGTAGGTTTCGCTCCCTACACTGTCTCCTCTACCCAGACACTCCCTGGTGCCCACAGCTGGTGGCCCGATGAACCCTGAACTGCTGGGCAGCTGTTGCTGAGGCCTCCCGTTGTCTCTCGCCTCCCAAGGCAGCCCCGAGAGCCTGTGGCCACGCCCTGGTGTGGGGAGGCCCAGGATTGGCTGGTGACTGCTGGTGCAGGCCTCCCAGACTCCTGGGAGGGGGTGGGACAGCTCAGGGACCGGGCGAAGGCCAGAGAGGCCCCAGGTGCCAGGCTCCCATGGGCCCTGGTGGGGGCCATTGAGCTGAGCTGGGGCTCGAGTCCTAACCCTCCAGAGAATTACATGGGCCCCTGGCTGGGGTGTGGGGCCACCCCCAGCTCTGGTCTCTCAGTCATTGCCCTGGGTCAGTCACTGGGCCACCCACTCTTGGATCTGCAACCACTGAAGGGCCCCAGTTGGAAAGTGGCTGGACGCAGGGTCTGTGGCGGACGCTGCTGTCACTGACCAACTTCAGCTCCTCGCTCCCACCCCTTGCTAACAACCCGATTTTCTTTGGAGTATCAGCCTGCCCGCGTCAGACGATGAGTCATCGCGGGTCCCAGCCAACCTGACGACCCTCTCGCTCACTTTCTCAGGATCCTCTTGCTCACTTTCTCAGCTCCCGGCGCTGTCTGAACTCTGACGTGCCCCGCTCAGTCCAGAGTCTGAGCTGTTCGTTAGTGTGAACTGGCAAAGCCAGTGGAGAGGATTCTGGGGAAAGTTGTGCAGCCCCGCCTCCCTCTTCCTGCTGTGAATGTGGTTGTGATGTCTGGATCTGGGGCAGCCACCTTGCTGCCATGAGGAAAGGCCAAGACATCATCCACACTGGTCTTGTCTAGCATCTGGTCTATAAGAAAATTAAACCCTTATTTGTTCAAACCTGTCTTGGTCCAGTTTTTTGTTTCACACAGCTAAAGTGTTCCTGACTGGGCAGGATTTTGGATCTGTCTGTCACACTGGTGATGGTGGTGGTGATTTGGGTCCTGAGCTATATATCCTTGCTCTGCCCTTGCTGCCTGTGTAAACTAGGGGAGTCCACTTGGTCTCTCTGGCCTATTTGCCCAGATGTTTCTGTTGTTACAGATGAGAAAAGGAATACCTTCTTCGCGCGTTAGTATCTGGATGAAGCGATACAGTTTGTAGGGCGCAGCATGGAGCCTGGCATAGAGAACAGCCTGGCCCAGTGAGCGGTGACTGCTGTTAGTGTGTGAGAGCCACAGTGTACCATCTACACATGCCTGTGCGTAAGACTGCTGTGTGGTGTATGTATGTGTGTGTGCCCCTGTCACGTGTGTGGATATGTACCTGTGTGGATACGTGTGTGTCATCAGGTGCTGGTATGGGAGATGTCCCTCTTCTCTGCCCTCAGGACTAAGTTAAGGGGGGCAGAGACTCAGGAAAGGCAGAATGGAGAATCAGAGCTGAGGGGTTCAGCCTCTGGTGTTGGACAAAGGGGTGCTTTGGCAGCCAAGGTAGGAGCTGAATAAACGCAAATGCCCTTAGAATTTCAGGTCCTGAAGAGTCTGGGTGAATGAATGAAGTGACCGTGGGGACATTTCAGGCCCGGTGGTGATGGTCGGGTAGAGTTAGGGACGGGAGGTCTCCCTACCCACGTCATGCCCAGGGATGTGGGAAGTCGCGCCACCATGGGGCTCTGGGCTGGGGCAGGAGGGAGAGAGACCCTGAGGGGTGGAGGGGCTCCTTTGGAACACACCCTCCAGCCCTTGAAGGACCTTGTCCCTGCTGCTGCTCTGTCTGGAACCTGAGCCCCGGCGAGGGGCTGCTATGTGCTTGTGGTCACACAGCAGGTCAGGGCTGGGTGTGTGGGATGTGAGCCCAGGAGGGGCAGCCCGGCCCTGCAGCCGGTGGGGGTGGTGTGGTGTGCTCCAGAGCCATGGTCCCCCACTCCGCATGGAAGCCTGCCTGCCCACCCACTTTTAGAAGCAGCATCAGATCGAGGGTTGTTCCCAGATTCTGAGGGTCGAGTGGAGGGAACAGGCCATCTGCTGCCTCCATTGTCCCAGAATAGCTGCAGGAGGGAGGGGGAGCAGAGTCAGCAAGGACCAGAATTGGGATGGAGGAAGTCTGGGTTTAACCCTTTGTGTGTCTGTAGGGGAGAGCATGCAGCTGCCTGTACTCTGTGCTGAGGTAACCCTTGTGGGCCCCGTAGGCAGGGGCTGGGATTGGGGACAAGGTTGGACTACCCCATCTTGGCCTTTCTGTGCCCCTTGGGCAAATATTATTCCCATATTACAAGTTAGGAAACAGGTACAGAGAGGGAGAGGGCCCTTAGTCCAGGTCACAGGGCTTATGGGTGCCAGGGGCCATCTCCGCCCGGGGCCACTCTGGAGGGGTGGGGAGCCTTTCCAGGCTGGCTCCACCCTCCGTTCCGTCTCTGGGTCTACACCCTTGGGCAGGTAACTCCACTGTTCCCGGGTCGCACCTGTAAAACAGGCACAGTGACTTCTACACAGCGTGCTGTGTGGGCTCTGGAGACTGCACAGAAACACCACTCCCTGCCCTTTGAGCTCAGTGCTCTCGGCTGTGACGGGGATGCTGGACTGGCTGTCACCTCCACTCCGCCACCCAGGTTCTGGCCATTGTCAGTTCCGCCTGTATTATCCCAGCTGCATGCGGCCCCCTGGTTTCTCCTGGGGGTGCCCAGGCTCTCTGCCTGGAGCGTACCCCATCTCCGCATGGCTGGGTCAAGCTCCTATGTCCTCTCCTAGGGAGGCTCTCCCTGGTCGCCGGTCACAAAGTGGCCACCTGCCAGCAGTCACTGTCAGTCACCCGCCCTACCATAGCTCTCTGTAGCTCTAACCTTCGCAGACATCTTTTGTTGTTGCGTCTGCTGACTCATGTGTTTGTTGTCTGCTCCCAACTTGACTGCTGGCTCGTGTTGCCTCTGTTCCCTGCAGCTCACTGCCTGGACATAGTAGATGCTCAACAAGCACTTGTGGGATGAGCAGAAGAGTGAGTGACTAGGTTTCTCAGCTCTTCCAGCTCTGTCAGAACCTTACGATTCTGTGAAAGGTGCTAAAACCACTGGGGGGAAGGTGGCAGGGAGCTTCCCAATGGAGGGATCAGGCGAGTGACACAGATCATTTTTAGTATCATCCCAAAATAGAAAATTTGACTTTAAGTGCTCCTGAGAGATGCAGTAGGGACAGAGCACCGCCGAGGAAGTCTGCTTGCCAAAGTAATCGACTCTACACAGACCAACCCTCTGGATCTAAATACCTGTTTCCGGGAATAGGAGGTGGGGGGCAGTGGAACACGTTAAATGACACCAGGAGGGTCCAATCCGCCAAATCAACCGTGAAGACAAAGGACCTTGTTTCTTTAACAAGTAAAATGGCACAAAAAAAGGGAGAGAGAGACTGTAAGAGATTAAAAGAGGTTTGAGAGCATTGGCAACAAAATACAATATGGGCCTTGTTTATTTATTTATTTATTTAATCCTCACCCGAGGACATTTTTGCATTTTTATTTTGAGATAGAGCGGGAGGGAGAGAGGGAAGAAGAGAGAGAGAGACACATCGAGTGGTCACCACCCACACGACCCCAACAGGGGCCAGGGACATACTGCAACCTACGTACGTGCCCTTAGCGGGAACGGAACCCGGGACCCTCTGGTCCTCGGGCTGACGCTGCTGAGCCAAACTGGCCAGGGCTATATGGGCCTCGTTTAGATCCTGGTTTAAATAAATGGATCCCGAAAAGACATTTTCCGAGAAAAATGAGAAAATTTCAACGTGAACTTTATTCGACTGGTTTTAAGAATAAGTTTATTGTGTTAGGTTTGATAACAATACTGTTTTTTTTCCCCTTGAATGTTCTAATATGTGAGAGACACATTTGGAAATATTTGTGAATAAAATGATAAAACACCTGGAATTTTCTTTAAAAAGGTGCTCCAGGGCAGAATGGAATAAGGATGGCAAAATGGGGATGGCTGTTGAAGCTGGTGATGGGTTCATGGGGGTTCATTACATTATTCTTTTCACTTTGGTGTGTGCTTGAAAATTGCTGTAATAAAAAGTACAATTAAAGAAAGAGGGCCCGTGGATAGCCCACGTTGCTGGCTATGGCTCCCCCTTCCCTTTCTCTTCCCCCTGCCCGTCCTCCGTGCCCCACATTCAGGTCCAGAGAACATCTGTTTTCATCGGAAACAGCTGTGCAGACTCCACTTCCAGTTTTCCCCAAACACCCAGAGAAAGGAGAGGCAGACCTTGACCCTGCCTGGTTTGCATCTGGCTGGTTGCCTGGTTTCCTCCTGGCCCACCCTGATTTCTCTGGGTTCAGAGCACTGTCCCAGCTGCTTTGTAACCCAGCAGCACTTTCCTTGGGCACAGTCATTGGACATGTCCTCCACCCACTTACCACTTCCCCCAGCCATCCAGCCATAGTGGGGGGTTCCTGTGTCAGAGGGTACATAGGGGAATCAGGTGAAAGTCCTACCTTCACTAGGGAGCTTAAATCTCAGTTGGAACAGCATAGCATGTCACTGATAATGCAACCAGAGGGCACAAGGAGAGAGGGCGAAAACTGGGGAGGGGGTGTCTGCTTGGCAACAGGTATCGAGAAGACTTGCTGTGAGAAGTGATGTTGGATCTGGGTCTTGATCCATGAGGAGGTCAGAAGGAGCAGAATGCATCACACACTGCCTTGTAGAGAGGGCTATGGAGACGCTAAGGAAAGGTACACGTTATGGTCATGAATATGACTGTTTTCGTGTGCCTACTTATCTTGCAGGATAAGTTGAAGGATGTACCTGGCCCAGTGTCCACATAAAACAAAAAGAGGCCCTGAACGGTTTGGCTCAGCGATTAGAGCGTCGGCCTGTGGACCAAAGAGTTGTGGGTTTGATTCCAGTCAAGGGAATGTACCTCGGTTGCATTTTGTCCCCAGCCCTGGTCGGGTCATGTGGGAGGCAACCAGTCAATGTGTCTCTCTCATGTTGATATTTCTCCCTCCCTCCCTCCCACTCTATCTGATGATAAATGTAAAAATATCCTCAGGTGAGGATTAAAAAACAACAACCAAAAAACAGAAGGAGTACTCATCCTCCTTCCCTCCCTACACTCCCTGAATAATCTTTTAAGTTCCCCAGAGCAGAGATACTATCTGATGCATCTCTGTACCCCATAGTATCTGGCACAGTGCTGGGCACGTCACAAAAACTGACTGCTTAGGTGAGAGAGTCAACCTCAGGCCAGTACCAAGGATCACAGGTGCTTGAGAAAAACATATTCTAGGGCCCCAGACTATACACCTTTAGAACCTAAATCTCCAAAAGAGGGGCCAGGTAATCTATTTTTACCTGGTTCCCCAAGAGGCTCTACTGTAGTTGCCAGGTTAGAGAACGAGGTGGGGTTGAAGGGAGTTCAGCACCACGGACAGAACCTCCAGTCTTCCTACGACTACCTGGGGCAAGGGCGTTCATTCCACGTGTGTACACGGCAGGGGTTCATGGTCTAACTCTGATGGGGGCCAGGTGACACCTGTGGCTTTGGCCCCTACACGCCACAGCCCTCGCCTGCGTTTCAGGAGTGAGTTTCAGGACGGGCACTGGTCCTGTGGGAGACAGCTCTAACTCTGCACAGGGAGGGGATATCTAATAAATATTCCCTCCATTTCTTTTACAAGCTGTAAGCAACCCCCATACTGTGCATGCAGCAAAGTATGAAGCCTGGGCCAGTGTGAACAAATTAATCTCCCAAATATGGTTGGAGAACCTACCGTGTTCAAGGGCTGTGCAGGTCGCCAAGGGGCCGGTAGGGATGCGCGAGATACAGCTGCCGCCCTAAGGAGCCCACAGCTTGTCCAACGTGGTTCATTGATTGTTAGAAAGGAGA